GGGATGCTCGGAATTACTTTTGGGATTGCAGTTCCTACGTACGATGGGAACAACGTGACCCTCAGAGCCGCTCCGGAGAACGCCGTCATCCAACCCCTTGGCCCTCGAACCTCAATCCTCAGGTGGAAGTGGCGGCCACCCACGGCGGCTTCTGGAAAAAACCCGGATCCAAAAAGTTGCCATCGCTCACGTCCGCCAGATCTGGACGCCCGAAATGGGTACTGAAAGAATGGGCACTATGCCCAGCAGCAGTTCCCGTTCATTTCGAACAAGATCCGCTGCCCACGCCGCCGCGGCCTCTGTCCCTTCGGGACAGGAGGCCGCCTGTCCAACAGCGGCCGCTGTTGGTTTGGGACAACATTTGTTGTTGGGCACTGCTGAAGGGGAACTGGGACACACAAATAAATACACACAAATAAAAATATCCCCTATATTTTCCCATACTTTCTGGGTTTGTGTCCTCCCCCCCACTTCCCATATTTTCCCATGTTTTCTGGGAATCGCCGATTAATTGTGTCTGTGTTTTTTCCCCTCCTGAGTTGTACCCATTCCTTCGGTGCCCATTTCGGGTGTACAAGCGCCACCTCCCGCCGACTCTCCGCCGGCTTTCGCCCGCGGCGCCGCCCTCGCTCTGCCACTGCCGGGCGCCCGCCGGCCTCCCGCCGAGGAAGAGATGGCAACCTCCCCCAGACCCCCGACGCCATTATTTTCTCATTACGTCGACCCCTAGAGCTCTCGACCCATTTCCCAGACCCCCTCGAGCAATGAAAAAATCACGACGGGAGGTTTTTCCTAATTTTCGGCCTTTGGAGGCCCTTACCGGCCCTCGGGAGCGTCAAAAAACGACTCAAGATGAAAAACCGGTCCCGGGGAATGGGTCGAGATCTCTGGGGGTCGACGTCATGAAAAAATCATGACGTCGGGGGTCTGGGTCCCCAGGACCCGTTTCTCACCCCGAGTTGTTTTTTGACGGCCCCAAGGCCCGTTAAGGGCACCCGGAGGCCGAAACTTAGGAAAAAAACCTCCAGGCATGATGTTTTCATGCCCCGAGGGTGTCTGGGCCTGGATTCCACGCAACTCCCCAAGACCCTGACATCCAACGTCGTGAGTTGCCCTTATACGGGAGAACTCGAGGCCTGACTTTTTCCCCATGGCCGGCTCTTGATCCCGAGTCGCGACGGTTGACGGTCCCAGGGCCTGGCGAGGGCCCCCATGAGACCGAAAATTGAGAAAAACCTCCGCCTCGAGTTTCTCGAGTCGTTGGAAGTCTGGGGACCCAAATCCCCTCGGGTCATGAGAAAATCATGACGGGAGGTTTTCCGCTATCTTCGGCCTCCAGGGTCCCTAACCGGACCTCTGGACTGTCAAAAAAAAACCGGATGAGGAACTGGTCCCAGGGAATGGGTCGAGAACTGTGGGGGTCGGCGGAATGAAAAAATCATGAAGTCGGGGGTCTGGGGACGACGACTCTTTTGGAACGCTCCCTTGTTTGAGAGGGACCGACCGTTTACAATAACAAAAGCCTAAAGCCGAGTGGACGACACACGGTCTCAGCCAGAGACGTTCGAAGAACAGTTCGCGCAAACTACAGAAGGTTCTAAGAACACTGCTTTGTGCGCTTATACGCCAGCTAAGACGCTTCGCCACTGCTTGACTTGTAGCGGTGACCCCGTCGGTTTTGCCCGATCGCTGGTCCCAGTCAGATGCGTTCGAAAAACGTTTCGCGCAAACTGCAGAAGGTTCCAAGACAGTTCTTTGGTGCGCTTATAAATCCCCCAATCACAGGTGGGCCAAGACGCTTCGCCGCTGCTCGGCTTGCAGCCGTGACCCCGTCGGCTTTGCCCGATCGCTGGCGGCGGCGCGCGGGGGCTGCAAGTGGGGAGCGGCCCGAGCTGCTGTCCTCTGCGCCGTGCAGTTTCGAGTCCGCCTGGGGGCGGGGCCTCCTCCTTCTCCTCCTCCTCCTCCTCATGCTACTGCTCCTCCTCCTCCTCCTCCTACCTCCTCCTCCTCACCTCCTCCTCCTCCTCCTCCTCCTCCTCCTCCTCCTCCGTCTTCTCACACTCTCCCTCCTCCTCCTCCTCCTCCTCCTCCTCCTCTTCCTCCTCCTCATCCCTCCTGATCCCTCCTCCTCTTCCTCCTCCTCCTCCGTCTTCTCAAACTCTCCCTTCTCCTTGTCCTCCTTATGCACTCCTTTCCCTTGTAGATAACTCATCCCTGTCGTGTTGGTAGGGCGGGCCTGGCGGTTCGCCAGAAAGTTTCTCACCATGAAGGATCCTGAAGCTTAACGACCACACCAGCCTCACTGATGGATGGCGTATCGCTCTCAAAATGGAGCCCTCGCCTCAGCGCCGCGCACATTTGTTTGATCATGCTGCAGTAATTTCACGCATGGCCAGAGGCTGGTTTTCAAAATGTTGCTTTCGCCTTCACGCCGCGCACATTCATTTTAAACGTCCAGCAGCTTCTAAAATGGAGGCGGTTCATTTTCAAAATGTGGCTTTCGCCGTAGCGCGGGCAGATTCGGTTTGCACAGTTGCACCATTTCCAGGAATTGAGGGAAAGGGGCCATTCAAAAGTGTGCTCTCGCCGCAGCGCCGCGCACATTGTCTCAAAGTTTGCCACACTGTCAGAGATGGACGAAGAGTATGTTTAAACTCATGTTTTCGCCTTAGCGGGACGCGCGCATTGGTTCAAAAGTTAACACTTATTTTATTAGATCGTGTCGTCGGCGAGCGAGGGGGGAAAATAAGAAGGAGAAGGCCTTCTCAGAAGGCGGCGGGACGTTTAGAAGCCCGCGCGCCTTCTGAGAAGTCTTTCTATTCTTCGGGGAAGGCCTAGAAAACTTCTCAGAAGGACGGGGGACTTCTGAGCCTTCTGAGAAGGCCTTCTCCTTCTCACTTCCCCCCCTCCCTCGCCGCCGAAAAGGGGTTATCGCCGTCGCACCGCAAAACATCGCCCCCAGAATCTTACAGCAGTTGTTTAAGGATGGAGCGCTGATCGTTCACAGGGCGGGGCTCTCGCCTCTGCACCGCGCGCGCGCAATTGTGGCAGTGCCGCTTCTAGCAGGGTGGAGGGCTGCTCTTTTCAAAATGGCCTCATCGCCTGAGAATCTGCGAAGCTGTTTTCTTTATACATATATATATATATGCATCCACAACATCATCAGTATTAGGAGCCCCAGGAGCCTCCAGGGGTCTGAGGGCCTCGGACACGACTGGAACACCACAGCTCAATGTACAGTCCAATGGCAACCTCACCGTGCCCGTGAGGTGGACCCCGAGGTCCTGCCTTGCTGGGAAGGGCAGCGCCCGGGGCAAACATATACACTGAAAGCCCGACAGGCAAATCGCTGGCAAATATTAACGACCCCCAGAAAGCTTAAACGCGCGAAGGGCTGCGCGGATCCATGGCGGCTCCTGGTTTAAGCGAGCTGCCGCTTGAAACCTCCTCGTGGTTCATGGCCACGAATGTACTCCAGAGTTCGTAATAAAAGCGAGGGGGTCTGGACCCTCCAAGACAAGCCATTTCAGACCTCCCCCGTGGGAGGACCCTCCAAAACATCGTCCCCAGACCCCCCAGGCCCTCCAAGATAGCCTGGAAGAGACCCCCCCCGAAATGAGACCCCCCTCCCTTTATTACGAAATCTGGAATCTACTTATGAAGCAGTGGCATGGGTAGGGGGTTCCTTCATCGAAGGAGGGGGATTCCGCTGGACCTGTCGCGAGGCACATCCTTTTTCAGAGCGGGGCCCTCGTGAAAAGGGGAGGCCCCACCTGCGCCCTGTCACGTAGCGGGAGGCACATTCTTGTGTTGAAGGGGCGGACCTGTTAGATCGGGCATGCCCTCCTACAGGGGGAAGTTAGAATAACAGTCACACATAGCCGGAAAGAACAATCGAAAACATAGACAAACGAGCACGAAACATCACCCCCCGCATTACTTCTTTACCACTCTTGAGTATTCCTCCTGTGAGAGGACATGCCCGACTTGAGACTTGCGGGAGCTCTTGAAGGGGAGTTGGGACGCGAGGGTGCGTTGCAGCCTCGCATGCTGCCTGGTCTCTGGTACCAGCGAGACGGCCCCCCCGGGGCCGAAAACGACACGAGACCTCTCGTCACGACTGGCCCACGGCGCGAGCATGTCCTGGCCCGGGGCCCCGCCTCGCCAGAGAATGGCGAACGTTTTCTCATTCGGCGTGTCGACATTGCATGGGCGGAAAGGACAGGGAGGGGGAGGGGGGAGGTCTGGCTCTGGACCTCTGCTTAACGTGACTGTTTGCAACAGCGCGTGTCCGATGGTGGTGGAGACTGCGCCTGCTCGAAACAGGCGCCTGAAACAGGCGAGACCTACTCCATGGGGGGGGGAGGGAGGCGGAGGAGGAGGACGAGGAGG